AATGTTTGCGTTGAGCTAAGAGGACCTGCGAGGAGAAGGAGAAGCGGGGAATGTGGTCTGTTAAGGTTCTGCGCAAGCGCGTTACGAGGGGAAGGTACGGGAACTTATAAGGATCAAAAGTGTGTTTTGTACTGTTATTTTTGCTGTATTAGTAAACTGGTTGTGTTATTCTCCGTTATTTGGTCACAGGACGAACATTTATTTTGAAACTATTACATAAGTGGGTTTTGGTTCAGTAATTGTGTAAAAAACAAAAAGAAAAGGTCTGTAATACTTATTGTTACACATTTATACTTAGAACTTCAAAGTTGCGAGCAGAAAAACAAAAAGGAATCCCACAGGAGTCAGAATTCCAATATTGTTAGTTAGAAGTCCCAAGTTCAACATCCAATATGACTGCAACCCTTTTTTTAATTCTTAGAAATCTATTCATTATTGTATTTACAAATTGTTCAAGCAAAATATGTCCGTCTTGTGTTTTTTTAATGTCTTACCTTGATGTTTAAATACTTAATAATATGGGTGTTTCACACTTGGAAACAGTTTTGTGTTGGTCGATGTATGACATTTGAATCGAATCCAGAGACAAGATTTCAACCCCCACTGCCAAACACATCTAAGATACAGAAGAACAGCGAAAACTGAGAAAAAAAATGAGAGAAAACAGGGTTAATTTATTGAACCAATCGACACCTCCTAACATCTCACTTAGTCTGTAGATTCACCACCTCCACATCACACCCTCTGCCACATCTCGGCTAAATGAATGTCAAAGAGGGCTAAGTCCTGACAAGATGGCCCTCTGGGAAGGTAAGTGTGGTCAACACCTTGCAGTGACACAACACATGTCCTGATTCACAATAGCAAATAGAGTCCACAGGCACTCTAAGTCTATGCCACAAAACAGCATAAAATTGGTATTTTTGCGGTTCTTTCTCCAATTTCAAAAATGGTAGAAAATGATAAATGAAGAGGCAGTGGGATAAAGGATTATTTGTGCAAGATGGTTTTATTTGAATATGTACAGCTAATCTATACTGTGTGCAATTCTAAAATGTTAATAGCCTGTATGTGTAGCATCACAAATGGGTACTCAAGTGGTCACTGTGCACAAATAGTTTATGTATTACTGTTGAGAAAAATTGAATATTCTTAGTATTTAATCTTACCACATGAGAAAAAGGTAGATTGAGCAGGATTAGTTTGAATAAGAGGGCTTTAAGTTATCCCTGCAGAAAAGAATGTCTGTTATCAGGAAGGAACCACGCCATAAATTAACTCTGGCACACAGGTAGTGGAGGAGACAAGTCAAATCATCCCCCACAGAGAAACACTAAAACTTATGGAAAAACAAACTAACAACACATAATACTTTTAATAATTGCAATTTAATTGGTAGAATACCATTTAGTTAAAATTAACATGACTCGAACTAGTCTAATATGTAGTTTTATATTAACAGCACTGGTAGTTAATACACTAACTAACAGTGTTAACTTAGTTAGTTAGTTAGTTAGTTAGTTAGTTAGTTAGTTAGTTAGTTAGTTAGTTAGTTAGTTAGTTAGTTAGTTAACTAACCAACTTGGCTATGTTAGTTAGATAACTTATCTAAGTTAGTTAGCTAAGTTAGCTAACTAATGTAGCTAACTTAGTGCTAGCTACATTAGTGTTAGCTAACTTAGCTAACTATTTGTAACACTAAGTGAGCCAAACATATAATTAAAACTAGTATAACATTAATTAGAAAATGTCTAGAATGAATGTGTTTGTATTGAAAATGCTCAGGTGTATTCTATAAGTCTTTTAATTCTTAAAATCTGCGCTTTGATCTCAGAGGACTTTTGGTTGAACCCTGGCAAAAAATAGAGGCTTTGTTCCAACCAGGAATTAGGAGTAACATCACATTTCAAACTGACATGAGAAGAGCTTGCTCTAAAATGACCTTTGGTCTCCTTTATCTAGAAAGAGATAGCCCGAAATTAAACAGGTCTCAGAAGGTAATAAAATTGCTTCGAACTTTTCAACTTCGTAATTTGAAACTGGTTTCAGCTATACAAGGAAAGTACACGCCTTAATCGCATAATTGCATAAATTAAAACAAAGAAAACACTCTTTTTGAATAAAAAAGTAAAGCCCCAGAGCAACGAATCAGATTGTTTTGCAAAACGCATGAGGACTCTCCAAAGACGTGTCGTTGCTTTCCTTCTATTTTGGCATTTTTCCCTTACCCTATTTCTCTCAGGTAAATGAATGTATGTTCTCTGTGTTGTTTTGCAGTTTTCTTATGTAATTTTCATACTTTGTTTTGGTTTTGATTAAACTCTGTGTCGAACACCGATTGCTGTTTTTTCTGTGGTTTCACTTCTGCCCGCGATTCTCCCAGAATCCCAAGTCTTGGGATCTGAGAGAAGAAAATTGAGCCTGCGGTCTTTTCAAATATATATCTTAATTCTTCTCGATAATTACCCACAACTTTTATGGTTGTTTTGTATACATTTTTCTCTTGTAGACTAACAACAACAGCAAATAAGCTCTCAGGCAAGCACTGATTCATGTATTTGGATTTCCAGAGCTGTCCATCTCAAGACGACCCCCAATGGGAAGCGGACCCCGTGCTTGAGAACCGCTGCTCTAGACACTCCAGTTCAACAGGTGGCGGTGTGAAGAGGAACGCCCCTCCCTCCATTCCTGCTCCAGCCATGTCAGCTACTGGTCAGTTAGTTTTCAGTTGGTACCCCAGTCCTGCACTCTGAAGTAAATCTAATTCGGCTTTCTGATTTCATTTCCCTTCAGTAATAACTTATTTGAGTCAGAAAAAAGTCCTCAGAAGATCACCTCAACCCCCTCTCACGAGAAAAAAAAAGGAGTTCATAAACCCTTCAGTTTTTGTTCAACCGTTATTTTTCCTGGTCAGTTGTTGTAAAGGATACTTTTGCTTCGTTAAACACGAAGATTCAGCGTCAAGACTTCCTAAACTAGAAGTCGGCCACCAGAAAACAAAGAACGGCTACTCCAGGTTGGCTGTGTTTATGTGAGACTGATTTATGCCGATGCTTACTGGGCTTTGAGTGTTTTATTTTTTTTTTTGTTGCTTTAATCTGCTAGTGAGTAGCACTTTATGAAAACCAGTTAGCCAAGTGAGCTAGCGAGTGTTGCTGTAACGTTATTACGTGTTACCGCTGTTTTTTTCTCTGTCGGAACAAAGCGCTTAAAAATGTCCAACAGTTACCAGCATTCAATAAAGGATACTTTGTATTATTTCGACAACATCCAGAGCTGTTTGTTGCTTTAAACAAGTTTACCGTTTCAGTAACTGTTGGTTAAACTCTTCTTTGAACTTGCTCGATAAAACTAAAATACTTGGACTAAGATTTATTTATTTTATTTACGTGTTGTTTTTTGTAACGGCCACCATTTTCGGTGTTTTTAAGGCTACTGTAATGACACAGCCCTTCACTAAATATCATCCCATAAATCTGAGCATTTTAAAACAGTGATTTTTCCCTTGATGGCCCAAATTGTCAAGTTTAGAGGGTTCAAAATAATTTGCTTAAATAAAAAGGAATAATATATCCCTTAAGATGTTTTTTCTGCTTAGTAAGACCTAGCATTTTAATGATTACATAAATCTGTTCAATTAAATTTCCCCATTTTTTTCTTGTTTTTGTACATTTATGTAAGCTAATTTATTGAGCTAATTCCATTAAATGAAAGCTAGTCTTAGAATATACAAATTTGTTAAACAGACTGAAATATTTCAAGTATTTATTTCAGTTAATTTAGGTTATAATGGTAGAAAGCTGATATAACAAACATACAAAAGATGAACAAAAAGAGTAGAGGCAAGCTTAACAATGCCACTACAATTCCCACAGCGTTGTCAGAATTGCACAGTTGTAACCGTTTGCTGTTTGATTGACAGGTTGTGTGGCATGAAAACTATGCATGAAGCAGGCTGGCGTTCCCTCGGAGTCTCCACTGAGCTGAAAGGCACACGCTACCTGGCTAAAAGGAGATAACGGCGAACCCCGTTTCACCTGCATCATGTCCTCCGACGCTGAGCCAGATCCCAAAATGCTCGTGAATCCTCCTCCTCCGGAGGTGACCGATCCCAACAAGCCTGGCCGACGGACCAACCAGCTGCAGTACATGGAGAAAGTGGTGGTGAAAGCTCTGTGGCGGCACCAGTTCGCTTGGCCGTTCTACCAGCCTGTTGATGCAGTCAGTCTTGGTCTACCAGTGAGTAATCTGTTTTTTTTTGGGGGGGTGGGGTTTACCTCATATTATTGCCAGATAGGAACTGCCCTGCATTGTCAGTCATACCTGGACAGACTGTCTCTTACATCCAAACTCACCTTCTATTTCAACAGGACTATCATAAGATCATAACGTCCCCCATGGACTTGGGCACCATCAAGAAACGCCTGGAGAACAACTACTACTGGAGTTCAAGTGAATGCCTGCAGGACTTCAACACCATGTTTACCAACTGTTACATATATAACAAGGTTAGGAGCTTCTTGGTTTAAAGAAGGTAAAGTCCTGGATATGTAAGTCCTAACAGAGTTTTCCCCATCCTCCTGTCCAGCCTACCGATGACATCGTGCTGATGGCTCTCGCCTTGGAGAAGATTTTCTTGCAAAAAGTTTCCCAGATGCCTCAGAAAGAGGAGGAGATTGTCCCTCATGCAGGCAAAGGGAGAGGCAGAAAAAGCATCCCAACAGGTAATGTAGTCGCGTCTTCAAACGGCTGACGTGAGGTGAGACGTACAGCGCATTGAAAAACAATTTGTGCTCAAATTTTGTCACATTATAATCATAATGTCACTTTATTTTACTGGGGTTTTTCATGTGGGAGACTCTGTTGGGGAATTTTCTATTAAATAATTGATAAGATTCAACTACTTTGTCTTTGAGAGTTTTAATTAAGGCCTTGTATAACAATGAGAGCTCTGTCTGCCTGTTGGCACCAACACCAGTATGTGTTGATCTTGAAAACACCCCTCTCTCTCTCCTCACACACTCAAGATGACCTGTACATTCCTACAGCTGGTGCATGACTCTGACTTGCACCCATCTGTTGATGTCCAGCTTACAGTCTGCTCTATTTTTACCTAATCATTAACCGTTACATGCATGTAAGAAAATACAGAATCTAAAGTAAAATTTCTTGATTTCCACCCTTTTGAAAGCAGATAAAATGTATCATTCATTCACACAAGACCTTCACAATACATCTAAAACATCGTCCAGTCAGGATGTGACTCAAACTGACAGCAAGTCTTCCTCCTTTCAGGAAAAAACAGAATCAAAACAAACCTGAGATCTCAAACGACTAAAACTGTTTAATCTTCTAAACATGAATCAAACATCCATTCCACATGTGAACAGTCCAACACTCAAAGACAAACAATCAGAATTTACAGCCAGTGAATATTTCCCCACAAAAGATAATGCAAAAATTATTTGTGCCACTTCAACAAACAGTTTCTGTCATCAGAGACCTTTTTTTTTTGTCTACTTGCACTACATTTGTGTTGGTCTGTGTTGTAGTTTGGCACAATCTAAATATTTCAAGAGGGGTTGAATACGCTTTGCTGCTCCTTTCAGAAAAAAGGATGAGGCCTGAAGGCGTGGGCCGAACTACCACTCCTACCAAGAGCGACTTTGAAGCGAGGGACTTTCCGAACACAGAACATGGAGGGCTGAGGGAACAGCTAAAGTACTGCAGCAACATCCTGAAGGAGATGCTGTCGAAAAAACATTCTGCCTACGCCTGGCCATTCTACATGCCTGTAGACGCTAACGCTCTGGGGATTCACGATTACCACGACATCATCAAATACCCAATGGATCTCAGCACTGTGAAAGTAGAGCTACTTTTTATTTTTTTTAACCTTTTTGTGGATTGAAGTGTAATCCTGGCATCACTTAAAAGATTTCTGTTCACCTGCAGAAAAAGATGGATGGAGGAGAGTACCAGGACGCGCAGCAGTTTGCTGCAGATATCCGCTTAATCTTTTCCAATTGCTACAAGTACAACCCCTCCCATCACACTGTGGTCGGCATGGCCAGAAAGCTTCAGGTGTGTTGCAAATTATAATACTGTATTATTTGTTTTAGTAATTCTCTCCATTTCATGCTTGCTTATGGATGCTTGAAGGGAGTGTTCGAACAGAGGTTTGCCAAGATGCCAGACGAGCAAGTCGGGGTCACCGCTCCCAGCTGCACCATCAGCAGTCTGGCTAGTTTGGACAGATCCGAGTCGACAGTGGAGGACTCCGCCCGGTTTGCCGAGGCACGAAAACAGGTGGGTTTCATCTGAAAGAAATAAATAATTGTTTTTCATGAAATCAAAAGATATCGCAATAGATGTTCACCTGACAAAACTACGAGATTTACAGTTAGATTTGAGAGATGACGCCGTGGAAAAACGGTGCTTTTACTGTCCGATAAACCGATTCTGTGTTGTTTTGGGGCTGCATTTTGTATTGTTTTATTCACAATGTGAAGGAATTTATAATGCCCAGAGTGTCGTCCACTGAACATATTCATGAAAACCCACCTGGACGACGGACTTTGAGGAGTCATCTATTTTTTTTTTTAATTGACATGAAATGTGTTCTTTTCCATTTTGCAGAGTAGTTTAAAGAAATAGGCCCATAGACAAGGGTGATTACTTGTACTTGTTTAAAAGACATTTTATCAGTATATTTTCTGCACTAAAATACACTTAAATCAACGGTTAGATATTTTTTGTTACAATTTAATATCAGTGCAATAAAATATATATTTCCTAAGGCTCATCTTCTCCAGGGGTGCTAATGAACGGAAGGTGCTGTTTGTAACATATATATTGACGTGTTAACGGTGTTGCCTTCCCTTGCAGACGTGCCCCAGAGCCATTTTCACACGTGCACTTAAATGTTCTAGAGATGTTCCTGATTGGTGAAATATGTGTCAACAAATTTCCACAACGTCCGCTTTGGACGCCTGGAAGACATTTTTCGTTTGAGTTGAATGTCTGGAATATCAGCGGGTGAGATGGCAGATCTCACAGAGTGTTTGCTGCAGATCAAAATGGCTGCTTCAATCTCCTTTCTGCTCTCCTGATTCGTTGATCTCTGCTTGCTTTTTGCCAGGAAGGAGCTGTAGTAAAAACATGTGTAACCTAACGTGTTGAGAGAGATTTCCTCAGTGGATTTTTTGCGTTGTGTTCTGCCATTCCACCACATTTCTAGAGTGTTTCTAACATAAAATGTCTAAATCAAAACCTGCCAGAACATCCTCTAGAACTCTGGTGTTCATGTGTGAAATCGGCTGCATTTCTTTCTTCACTACCCCGTTTTCAACATCTTTGGCTTCTTGGTGCTTTTAGTTGTTTTGGAGCTTTATTAGAAAGGCTTCACCACATAAAAATAATGTTCTGGTGTTTTTTCTGCCCAGCTAAAGACGGTTGATGGACAGCATGCAGCCGTTTCTCAAACCCCAAAACTGCGGAAGGAGAATGACCAGAAACAACATGGCGGGGACGTACCTAAAAGTGCTTCAAACCCTGCAGTTAGGTATGATTATTGACTTACTGCTGTTTCTATACATTAAACACAAGTTTACTCTTATTTTCTCTAATTTCAGGAATCCATTGAGAGAAAACAAAGATTGGGATTTGAGAGAGAAAGCTTTGGCGGCTACACACGAGAAAAGATGGGATTCGGATGATAAGGCCTTGCCGATGACGTATGAGGAAAAACATCAGCTGAGCCTCGACATCAACCGCCTTCCTGGCATAAAGCTGGCCCGCGTGGTCGAAATCCTCCAAGCGTCGGAGCCCACCATGTGCACCACCAACCTGGACGAGATCGAGATCGACTTTGAGTTACTGAAGCCGTCCACTCTGCGGGAGCTCGAGCGATTTGTCAGATCCTGCCTGTTCAAGAAATTCAAAAAATATCAAAGTAAGCAAAGCATGTTGGCACAAAGCTATCCTTGGATAATTTGATAATAAGATTTTGATGGTGCTTCGTTTCCTTTACGCTCTCCAGAGAAGACCAGCAAAAGTGCCTCTCAGTCCGTCAGCACAAGCAGCAGTTTGTCAGATTCTGCCTCCACCACCTCCACCAACTCCAGTTCAGAAGACACTGACTCATAATCTTTGTTCTCTATTTATATCTTGCTCTGAGGACCAAAAGTTGTTACGTGTTAAACGTTTTTTTAAATTTTTTTATCTGTTTCTGTATATATTTTAATTGTTGAAAATAAACCTGAATACCTTTTTTATTCGGTGTTTTTTATAATCTCTAACATCTTAAAAAATTTCCAAGAATTGTTTTATGATGTTCTTTTTAACATTTATTCAATAAGATCATAAAACGTTTCTGTCATAATTTAAGCCTGTTGTTGAATAAGATGATGCTTTAGAGTGGCCATAACAAATTCCTCGTACGTATTTTTTGTGATTTCTATGTTGTTGGGACATCCTGCACAACGAGAACAACCCAAAACACAACAGTAACTCCACAGAGGACCGGCTGAGAATCAAGAGTCTAACCCAGACGTTGATCTCTTTGAGTGAGTTCAACTCAGTAGGTTGTTTCCCAGAATATGAAAACAGGGTTTGACTTCAAAATCTGTGTCTTAACACAGGAGTTTCCCTTTTTGAATTGAAATACTGAAATCAATGACATTTTCAGTAATTTACCAAGTTCCATTGACTGGATTTCAGATCTGTTCTACATGAACCTAACAACAGGCAGCTGATGCCTGCAGAATCTAATAACACCATCTTTTTCCACCGTCTGTGACTGGTTAGACTGTGACAAAAAGCTGCACTGAATTACACATTAGCCGTGCTTCCAACAGGCCTGCCAACTGCTCGGCTCAAACTGGCACAGTCCAGGCCTAACAGCTGGTCCTGCCACCAGTTTCTGCTCCACTGGATCGCGCACTTTGAAGCGCTCCATATCTGCAGTTGGGGAGTTTTTAGAGAGGAAATGTGGTCGTGAGGCGCTGGCTGAGAGAAGACTGAGCAGTTCAGGAGTCTGCCAGCAGGGGGCTATCACGGATCAGCTTAGAGGTTGCTTCACTTTGTCAGATTTGAAATAAGCAGAAGTTTGGTTGTGTGACTACGTTTCCAGTGCATTTCTTACATTTTTGATTACATAAAACATTACAACTAGCTTTAAATGATTAAGGCAACTGTTAAATGAAACTTTAGTTTTATGGGGGGAACGCCTGTTGTCCATCTGATTGCATGCTGCAGGATGGTTCACTCTCTGACCCGCATTCCCGTCATGCCGTATGGAAAATGCCATCCTGCAGCGCACACCGGCCTCAGGTCACGATCCATCGGTTCCACACCTCTAATGACAACAGGTCACTTCTCCCATTGCTGGCCCCGCTGCAACTCCGCATATGGTGCACAGGATTGACCGCTTTGATTAACTGGTGTCTGCTTTTCTTTTAACACCCCATCCGAAACCAGCGGGAAGCAAATGAAAACACAGTTACTGTGGGCTTTCTGTCAATGCTGCTCTGATCGAGAGCCGCGGAGCGAAATCCAGGTGAACACACTTCTGTTTGGAGCTCGGTTCATACTAATGTGGCATCTTAATTGAAAATTAGCTGATACTGTTCTCTGGAAGCCGGAGCCTCTTCTGCTCAATATGCTCAATTTGTTTGAGGCTTTATGGTGCTTATTAGTCTGTTCTAAAGCCATTACTTATGGTTGGAGAGGTTTTGCTGAACTGGTAGATTTTTAAAGACTTGTTTCAAATGCACAGAGCATGCTCAGTCCAGGAAGCTGCTAAGGAAACAAACAATGACACTGAACCTGCAGCTCCGGGCTGAATCTGGAGCAGATAGGCACTGTTTATCACACCTCATCTCTTTGCCAGGCATGAGTACATTTATTTATTTATTTATTTATTTATTTATTTATTTATTTATTGTAGTAGTTTATTCCAAAAAATATTTTTTTTTACTTTGTAATTAAAATTATTTATTTGTTTAGGTATTTTTTTTTAATCTGTTGTAGTTTATTCCATCTTCATTCATTACTTATTTTATATTTATACTTGAATTTTATTGCTATTTGTTTGTTGGCTTGTTTATGCTGTGCATTATTTGTTTTATGCATTCATTCATTTGTTTAATTAAGTATTAATTTATGTTGATTTTTTTTTTTTACTTCATTCTTTGATTCTTTGTGTCTGTCCTTTGCTTCTTTCCGTTTATGACTCCTTTAGTCCTTCACTGCATGCCACTTGCTCAGGTCCATCACTCACTCCGGACCACTTCCTCCAGTGACAGTGTAATAAAACTCCTAATCATGCAGCCCTGGAGCATGGATGAAACCAAACAAGCCTTAAATGGGTACCCCCCCCCCTTCACCCCCTTGTATTTTCCTGACATAATTTGGCCTTGGTGCGTCTGTCTTGAGAAGATTTAGATTGTTTACTTTTAATAGAAACTGTTGAGAGCAGCATATTGCCATAATTGCTTTAGAACCACAGTCTGGTGGTGCTGAAAGCCACAAAATTCCTTGGAAATAGCTGCAAGTTGATTCTCTGTCTCTTCCCTGACACTGATTCCCTGTCAGCATAGCA